TTTAATCCATTTACATTTAAGGAAATTATTGATATATATGCTCTTAGAGCCATTTTGATAATTGTTTTTGGATTTCTTTTTTTTTTAAGTTTAAAAAAATTAATTATTTTTATTTTTGGTCTGTTGGGTCTTTGTTGCTGTGTGTGGGCTCTCTCTAGTTGTGGCAAGCGGGGGCTACTTTTTGTTGTGGTGCATGGGCTTCTCATTGCAGTGGCTTCTGTTGTTGAGGAACACAGGCTCTAGGCATGTGGTCTTTAGTAGTTGTGGCATGCAGGCTCTAGAGAACAGGCTCAGTAATTGTGGCACCCAGGCTTAGTTGCTCTGTGGCATGTGGGATCTTCCAGGACCAGGGCTTGAACCCATGTCTCCTGCATTTGCAGGCAGATTCTTAACCACTGTGCCACCAGGGAAGTCCCCTGGATTTCTTTTTGAAGGACTTTTTATTCCCTTCCTCTTTTGTTCTCTTCTGTTTTGATTTGATGACTAGTGTTGTGTTTGAACTGCTTTTTCTTTTTTGTATGTAAGTATGTATTATAGATTTTTGGTCTGTAGTTCCCATAAGGTTTTTTGTAGCAGTCTGTATATGTACAAGATTGTTTTAAGTCACCAGTCTCTTAATTTCAAATGCAGTTCCCATATCCTGCATTTGTACTCTCCTCACGGCTACTGGTTTTGGTATCATATTTGTGTGTGGGTGATTTGCTACATTTACTGTATTTTTGCCTTTACCAGTGAGCTTTCCCATTTGTGATTTTCTTGTTTCTAGTTGTGGCGTCTTTTTTTTTCCCCCTGCCTAGAGAAGTTCCTTTAGGATTTGTTGTAAAGCTGGTTTGGTGGTGCTGAATTCTCTTAGCTTTTCCTTGTCTGTAAATTTTTAATTTCTCTGTTGAATCTGAATGAGAGCTTTGTTGGTTAGATTATTCTTGGCTGTAGGTTTTTCCCTTTCATCACTTTAAAATATATCATGCCACTCCCTTCTGGCCTGCAGAGTTTCTGCTGAAAAATCAGCTGATAACCTTATGGGGATTCCCTTGTATATTATTTGTTGCTTTTCCCTCGTTGTTTTAATATTTTTTCTTTGTCTTTAATTTTTGTTAGTTTGATTAATATGTTTCTCGATGTGTTCCTCCTGGGTTTATCCTGTGTAGGACTCTCTGTAGTTCCTGGACTTGGGCGACTATTTCTTTCCCATGTTAGGGAAGTTTTTGACTATAATCTCTTCAAATATTTCTTCAGGCCCTTTCTCTTCCTCTTCTTCTTCTGGGACCCCTATAATGTGAATGTTGGTGCATTTAATGGTGCCCCAGTAGCCTCTGAGACTGTCCTCATTTCCTTCTATCCTTTTTTCCCCATTATTCTGTTCTGTGGCAGTGATTTCCACCACTCTGTCTTCCAGCTCACTTATTTGTTTTCTTGCCTCAGTTATACTGGTATCAATTCCTTCTAGTGTATTTTTCATTTCAGTTATTGTATTGTTCATCTGTGTTTGTTTGTTCTTTAAATCTTCTAACTCTTTGTTAAGCATTTCTTGTATCTTCTCGGTCTGTGCCTCCATCCTTTTTCCAAGATCTTGGATCATCTTTACTCTCATTACTCTAAATTTTTTTTCAGGTAGATTTTCTGGATCATCTTTACTCTCATTACTCTAAATTTTTTTTCAGGTAGATTTTCTATCTCCTGTTCATTTAGTTGTTCTTGTAGGTTTTTATCTTGCTCCTTTGTCTGCAGCATATTTCTCTGTCATCTCATTTTGTCTAACTTACTGTGTTTGTGGTATCCTTTCTACATGCTGCAGAATCGTAGTTCCTCTTCCTTTTGGTGTGTGCCCCATAGTGGGTGAGTTTGGTCCAGGGCCTTTTGCAGGCTTCCTCGTGGGGGGGACTGGTGCCTGCCCCCTGGTGGGTGGATTTGGATCTTGTCCCTCTGGTGGGCAGGGCTGTGTCAATTGGTGTGTTTTGTTGTGTCTGTGAGCTTAGTAGGACTTTAGGCAGCCTGTCTGCTGATGGGTACAGCTGTGTTCCTGTCTTGCTGGTTGTTTGGCCTGAGGCATTTCAGCACTGGAGCCTGCAGGCTGTTGGGTGGGGTTGAGCCTTGGTGCTGAAATGGGGACCTCTTGTAGAGCTCATGCTGGATATTCCCTGGGGCCTCTGCTACCAGTGTTGTTGCCCCCACAGTGAACTACAGCCAAGCCCTGCTTCCCCAGGAGACCCTCCAAGACCCCTAGGTAGGTCTAGCCCAGGTTCCTATGGAGTTATTGCTTTGTGCTGGGTCCAGGTGCTCGTGGTAACTTGTGTGCACCCTCCAAGAGTGGAGTCTCTCTTTCCACCAGCCCTGTGGGGCTCCTGCCCTCAAGACCCACTGGCCTTCAAGGCTAAATGCTCTGGGGGTTCTTCCTCCAGATGCCAGACCCTCAGACTGTCTTGGAGGGTTATTTTTATGTGGGAATGTCCCTGTGTAGCCTGCATGGGTTTGAATTTTTTTTTTGGGGGGGGTGCAATGTTTGTTTTCAGTATGGTTGTCTGCCACCTCTTTCTTTAGTGTATGCTAGCTGTTATCCCCCTGATAGGGTATTTGACTGGTGTTTTGGTGACCAAAGCCTGCCCTGGGCATTGAGTGGAGCCTCCCCTTTGCTCTGTGGTTGTCACTGCCCTGTCAGGGGTGGGGTCTGCTCCCTAGGTATTGGCGTAGAGGCCCCCAGATCTGTTTCTTAGCTGTGTTTCTGATCTGCAGTGTGAGGGAGGTGGTATTGGAGCAGTCCCAATAAGAGAGAAGCCACTGAGTATTCCTCCTTTGGTGCTATTCACCTATGAACATGCTCTGTTGTGTCACCTTTTACCCACTGTTTGAACTCACAAGTTACTCTGTTGTCGGCACTGCTCTCAGCCCCACCTTAACCACTGGTAGGCCGGCAATTGGCCTTGGTGTCTCTCAGGAGTTGTTTTCACCAGGCCAGTAGCATAGATCCACTGATGTCAGGTCCCAGGAGACTGCAGTAATCATAGATCTGGACCTGCTGTAGGTACTATGGGGGTGGCTCAGACTCTGGCCTGGCCCATCCCCCACATGTATGTGCTCACAAAGTCCACAGCTGCTAAAGCTAGACCCGTCTCAGCTGCAGGAACATTTGTTGACTGTTTAGATTTCTTCAGGTGCTGAGTTTACAAAGCCAGTTGTGGGAGTGTAATTCTGCCATTTGTGCAGCTGTGAGGAGAGATTTCAGCTCTTCTTTCATAGTTGCACAGTCCCTGGGGCTCAGCTGTGGTTTCAGGTCCACCTCTGTGTGTGGGCCACCCACAGGCATCTGCTCCCAAGGCTGCCCTGGAGCACAAGAGCCCAGCCCTGTGGGGATGGGTCACATGGCAGAGCCAGAGGCCGTGGGTGCAAGAGAGCTGGCTCTGGAGGGGACGGGGTGTGTGGGGGAGCGAGCCAGTGGCCATAGGTGTGAGAGAGCCAGCCCTGGTGGGATCCCTTCCTAATGCTCATGGAGGCAGGGGCTGGTGCATGGGCAGAGAGGCTTCAATGGTGACCCCACCCTTTGTGTGTCCCTCAACAATGGCACTTTGCTTCTATGGCCACCCGGGCTTCTTCCAGGAGGATTCATGGTTGAGGAGCTCCTTTCTCCTGTCCCCTCAGGCTGTCGCCTTGCAGAGAACAGCAGTTCTCTCCCTGGGCCTGCTCTCTAAACCCCACATTCCAGCACCCAGCCCCTGGGCACATGTCTCAGTCTGGGATATGCAGGGCTGTGGCTTGGACCCTCTGTGTAGGTCTCACTCTGTCCTGCCTGCCACAGACCAGTTGCTGCATTCTCCTCTGAGCCCCAAAGCTCCCCTTCTGTCCCACATGATCTCCTGTCAGTGGGGGGCCTTCCCCGGATGTGGGAACCTGTCCTCACCTTCAGCTCCCCCCAGGGGTGTAGGTCCCATCCTGCTTCCTCTCCTCTTCCTTTTTCCTTCTTTCTTTCATCCTACCCAGTTATGTGAGAATCTTTCTTGTGCTTTCAGGTGTCCGAGGTCCTCTGCTAGTGTTCAGCAGGTGCTCTGTGAGAATTTTTCCATTTATAGATGTATTCTTGATGCATTTGTGGGGAGACATGAACTCCACGTTCTCCTACTCCTCCGCCATCTTGACTCATCTCTAACAAATCAGTAGACTTTGAGTAAAGCAGATTACCCGCCATAGTGTGGGTGGGCCTCATCCAATCAGTTGAAGGCCTTAAAATCAAAATACTGAGCTCCCCTGAAGAAGAAGGAATTCAGCCAACAAACTGCCTTAGGAGTTGAACTGCAACTCTTCTCTGGGTCTCCAGCTGCCCACCTGCCCTACAGATTTGGACTTTCCAGCCTCCACAACTGCATGAGCCAATTCCTTAAACTATATCTCCCTTTCCCTACACACACACACACACACACACACACACACACACACACACACACACACAGGTGTGTGTGTTTCTTTGTAGAACCTGCACTACTGGTCATGGCACAGTGGACTTGAAACTCACCAAGGGCAGGGACTGTGTCTCCTTTGTGCGGCCCTGGGTCCCCCTCCCTAGCGCCATGCTGGCACATAGCAGGTGCTCCATCCACATGGTAGCTTGGTGATTACCAAGCACTTTATACATTCTGCATCCTAGCTGGAAAGTCTGCCCCAGTAAGAATCAAGAGTGACTGGAGTCAAGAAATAGATAAGAGTCTGGGGGCTGGGGTGGATTTTAAGGGCCTGCAGGGCAGATGACGAGAAGTTTTGAGCCAGATGTTAGTTGTGCATTTTGGGACCTGAAACTTCAACATGGGGAAGAGAGACTTCTGGGGTCAGATGCCTGCCTTTGTCCAGGCTCTCTTTGGACTGGGCCAGAGCAGGGTCCATTTTGCTTTGACCATCATGGACCTATAATGGCGATGGAGAAGGAGGAGAAGGCCCCTGAGTAGTCTTGCCTTAATCAGTTCTCACTTTAACAAGTGCATACAGACTGGCACCAAAAAAGGTAACTTTTTTCACGTTTTATTGTAAAGTCCTCAGAAAAAGAGCATTTACAATGACAATACTTTATGATAATCTGTGAATCGTCTTTATATCAAGTGGTACTGCAAACACATGGTGTGTCCAATACTGTGAAATACATCAAAGTAAACACAAACTTACCTCCAATGCCACATACAGTTGCTGTGTTGGTACAAATTTCTACTAAAGTTGATGTATTAAAAATAATTTATATATATTTTATAAATAAGGAAAAAATTCACATGTATAGTAATTACAGGAGGCCTTTTGAGAAGTACCAGTGATTACAGAAAATATATTTTGGAGTCTACACAACTGCTCAAAATAATGTAATCTGCCTCGACATAAGAGATCTGGAAGTTTTCTGAGGTGGGGGAGGATGAGAATCCTAATGGGACAAATTGTGTGTGTGTGACTGCATATCTCGAGGGTCGTTCACTACACTATAGCATGAGCACAGCGTGTGTGACTACAGCAGCAAAACTCCATGCCTAGTCTGCTTTTAGATCATCTCACACGGCCTTCAGGAAGCACGAGCAGCGGGGGAGGGGGAGATGGGTTGCGAAGGGGCAGGACCAGGAACGGAGAGGAGGCTGGCCAGCCGCCGGAGCCAGGCAGTCAGGGTGTGGGTCGGGGGCACCACAGAAAGCTGTGCTGTGGGTCTGGGATGGGGGACTTGCAGACCACTGTCCCTCACCTCTCTGAAGCAGCTAAAGTAGCAAGGGACAAACAACTCTTAAAGCTATGGCCGATGTCACGCTGGGCAGTGCATGAAGTTTAGATTTAGGAAATTTTCTCATTTGAGAGCTCTTGGGCCCCATATCCAGCCAATGATGGTTGCCATTCCTCAGAAATGATCTTGAAGACAGTGCCCCCACTGGGCAGCATTGTCTGATCCTGCCTTGGTGACATGTGGTGAGCTGTGTGTCACTGGGCTGGGGGTAGGGTCGAGTCGACAGTTATTGCTTTGTGGCATGCAGACTGAGCCCTCTATAGCCCTCCAGGGCATGGCCTGCTCCCTGGGGCCACAGCAGAAAGGGATGGTCCCATGTTAGTCAAGGTGAGCTTGGAAAGAGGGGTATGTGAATTGTCGTTTGTCCAAAAACCACGCACATGCTCAACACTCTTGTGCTGGCTAAAGAAGCCTTGCTGTGAATTTTGGAGGTCAATTCCTGCTCTCCCCCTATCTTCCATAATTTCACACATTGCGTTTGGTTAAATTCCCAATGCTGCTCACAGGTCCAAAGGATGGGTGAAACTATGCTTGCTGGGCTCCAGGTGTCGGCTGCGTGGCTGGTGCCTAAACCCTGAAGGCCCAGATAAGATGCTCAAATCCTCAAGTGGCTTGGCAGGTAACCTGGTGTAGACAAAAGCAGGAAGTGGGTTGTAGTCCACCAGGTATTTGGGGTCTTGCAGTCACACCTTGAGTATAAGCACTGTATATTTCCCCCTTGAACTTTTTTAAGCCCCTCTGTTCTATGATCTCTTCATTTTGGAGAGAAATCAAGGCAGTTAGTGACTTTCTTGAACAAAACTGCTTTCCCTATGTGCCAATCTGGGAGCAAATAGTAACATCTGGCCCTATGAGTGACTTTTCACTTGTACCCAAAGCAAGGAAGCAGCATGCAAAGGCCACTGGGGGCTGGTGTGGTGGTCAGGTGAGTTGCCCCTTGAGTTGTAGGAGTGGCTCATGAGCAGGAGGCCCCAGGCGTAGGAAGGGAGCGGGAAAGGCAGAGAGCAAAGTGAGGATGGAGGGAGGTGTAGCTCAGCCCTCTAAGGGCTTGGCTGAGATGTTATGGTCTCTATTCCCGTCTGACAGTTTCTGTCTGATAATAGCCGACTTCCCTGACAGTTCTGAGTTCTCGCTTGTCTTGGTCACCTAACTCCAAAGGGCTGTGAGCTAGGGTTTGGGGGGTGTGATTTTGGGTAGCAAGCGGCTGTGTCCCAGTGGGTTCTGATTGCACTTGGAGTGGGATCTGGGGTCCTGGGTGGGGGAGGATGGCCAAGAACTTTGCCATCGATGTCGGCATCGTTGTCATCCTACATCACCTGTCTGGCCTCCTGGCTCAGAGGTGCCAGGTGCAAGTTGGAGGTGCCGTGTGGAAGAAGGAGGATGTGAGGTAGATTGGTGGATGTATAGGAGGGCGTTGGGAGCAGTATCATTGCTCCTGGAGGCTGGCTTCTGAAGAGGAGGATGGGAGAGTGAGCTGTGGGATTTGGTAATGAAATGGTGCAGTGTCCGTGGTACCTGAATGAAACACATTGTGAAAAATGAATGGATTACTATTTAAGCCCCTTGTAGAAAAATATATCCATCATGAAGCTGTTTCACATCTCAGTTCTGAAATCTCCTTTAGTTCACAGGTTATTTGGTCAGCAGAAAAGAAGAGGGGGCCACACAAAGCCAACTCCAGGCTGCTTTCCTCAGTGAAGACTCAGCAGTTACAATTCCCTGGGGCAGCAGGCGGTTCTTGGCTTTATTCGGGCTGGAGTGCTGTCCTCCAGGGCACTTACCTGGATCTGGGAGGCTGAGATGGGGGCGGGGGCGGGATTGCAGGGACTGAGCTTCTGTCTCCCGTGATGCTATCTCTAGGTCACAGAATATGAAGCTTGGTATGAGTGTGGCCCCAGCCTAGACTTTACAGGGCTCTTCCAGCTACTTCTGGGGGCTTGGGGAAAGTAGCAGGACCCTCAAATGACTTGGAGCCTTAAAAAAGGGGCCTGGGCCAGCCCCAGGCAGGGCTCGCAGGCTCAGTGTTACTGGGGCTGCGATGATGGCATCTGCCTCACTCTGTGTGTGGTTCACAACCAAGCTTACTTGCACAGAAAGTCCATGCAGGCGTCTAGAAGCAGACAAATCTCTCTTCCCACCATCAATCCGTGGGTGGCTGCGTGGGCGTTTGGACCGCGAACCTCCATGTGGGGTCTTGCTCACTTGGGCAGAAGGAAAGTGAGGGCCTCCAGTTCAAATCTTTAATGTCACCGTAGGTGTCGATTACTTCTGTTTGTTAGTCTGGAAAAAAATCTACGTTGAATTTTTGTGAAATGAATTTTATTTCAAAATCCAGTAATTTTGAAATAGCTCATCACGTAAGTGGCTTTGGGGGTGATTCTTTTGGTAAAACGAATACTCCTTTAATGTGAAATATTAGTAGATAGCCGATAATTTGTGTTCATCAGAAGGATCGCTGGCTGTTGTGATGACTTCGTACCCCAGTGGCTTTCAAACTGTGTTCCACGAGCCTCTGCTGGGGCTAATGTGTGGGAGAAAGGGGCAGGTGGAGTCCTAGCCAGCCCTTCAGTCAGTTGCACTGCTGAAAAAACATTGACTTTGTGAATTTGCAAATTTCACAGTTTTCAGGGCTGTGATTCCCCTCTCCTATTTAATTGTGTCTGAAATGCTGGCAGCAAGACCTAAACTGGCCATCTCCAGCTTTGCAACTTCACAGGTACGACGAGAGGCAGAGAAGCTTTCCAGACACACTTAGAAGTGGAAGGAATTGTGGAAAAGGAACAGGTGCCGCTGAAGTCACTCCCAGTTGAAAAGGCCAGTTGGGACTGGATTGGTCTTTTACTCAGCAGTCCTGCAGTCCAGAGGGGCCAGTGTTCTGGCCTGGCAGTTGGTGGGCTCTTCCTCATGTAGGCTCAGAGACTTTCTTTTTCTTCCAGGGGCTGCTACAATTCAGAAGATGTTTTCCAAAGGAAGAAGCTCACGAAAGTTGGAGAATTTAAGGGGTAGAAGTGGGACTTTGGAAGAAAATGTGTCAAGACATTGAGGCAGGAATAAAAAAAAAAGGTGAGATGTGTTTTCCATCCATCCCAGTTATTATGAAACTAAATATTAGGCTTTTGAGGTCAGTTTCTTCAACCTATATCTACATATTGTATCTTAAAAAAAATCTATGAATGTATTTGTCTAGGCACACCCTGGGGGTTGTTGGGGACAAGAGTTTGGTGGACTGAGATGCATGAAACACACTAGAGGATTGGCCAATGTCAGGAACTCTGTGGCAGGCGGTGGGTTGGGCAGTTAGGTGGGAGTGAGAAGCTCTGTTTCCAGTGAGGCAAGGTCTGTGTCTTCCTTTCTCTGACAGGGGCCATTCCTCAGCAGCCCAAGAAACTCATGGCCATGTTGGCAGGTGAAGACATCTAACCTAATGTGTCTGTGATGGGACCACCTCTTCCAACTTCAGGTGGCTTGAAAAATGACCCTTCAAGCCAGAAGGCATACAAGTGCAATTTGGCCACTGATGTGCACGAGAAGGAAAGGGGTGTTTTGAGAACCCAAGGGGGCCTCTTCCTTGCTGAGATTCTCTGATATGGGCTCTCTTCACGGGGCTGTTGGGTTGTACTTCTTTGATGCCCAGTGGAGAGCCTACCACAGCCTGAGACATTTGGGAATAATGCCGCAGTGCCAGCCCGTATCCTTGTGTATTACTGGGGAGAGAGGGACCTAAGTGTAAGAAACACTTACTGAAATGTGCTGTCTGTGCTATGATGATGCAGGGACTGGGGTGGCCAGAGCTGAGTGCGAGGGCCACAGGGAGAAGATAAATGGGGTTTTAAAAGGGATAGCCTAAGGAACCCGCCTGAACCCCACTTGTATCCTTCGGGTTTCTGCATTGAGCCTGGAGGCCACTGTTCTGCAGGCCGCACACACCTTTCCAGGCAAGCCTGGTCTGCCCTGAATCTGGGGTACTGGGCTGGCTAATAAATGTCCCCCTTCAGTAGTGAAAAGCAGGCACGCAGGGTTTGTCTTGGTCTCTTGGGGTCCCAACCCAGAACGGAGCCTTTACCAATGTGGTGGCCTGATCTGCACTTGGGGGTGTCCCTGGTGCAAAGGAGCACGATCGCTTGGTGGCCATTGTCTTCTTTCTGGATGTGGGGTGGTGACTCTCAGAGCCATGGCCTAAGGCAGGGAGGAATTACAGCTGGACCTCGGAGAGCATCTTTCTGCTTACTAGCATTTGAGATTATAAAAAATTATTTTTTAATCAAAAATTCCAAAATAAAGTGAGTGATTTCCCCATCCCCCAAGATGCAATAAGTCTTGTTGGCTCTCCCTCAGGCTTACAAGAAGTCAAATGGAAAGAAAAGCAAGAAGCAACTGCGAAGGAGAAAATGAGGTCCAGAGCGAGGGCGATGTGGCTCTCACACCAGGAGGGAGAGCCCTGCTCCGGGGAGCCTGTGTCTTCAGGCCACATCAGGGTGAAGTCTGGCCGGACCCTGGAGAATGACTAGGCGAAGGCAACCGACAGAAGCATCCGCCTGGAAAGCAGGAGCTCCTGGTTCCATGGCGGCCCAGGTAACGTGGCGCGTAGCTGGGCGCAGAAATGATTCCTTTACACGGCAGCATATTCTCATTGTAGCTCAAGGCAGAAATCATACGTTCTAACGAAAAACCCCCATCTTGTTAGCAGCGCATACCTTATGACTAGGAAACTTGCAAGGAGACCAGTGTTGAACCACAAAGCGAATACAGGTTTTTGCTTTTGTCTGTAAAAATGTACAGGGTGCCTGCTTGGGGCTGCGGTGTCAGTACCAGGCGGCACTCGTGGCTGCTTCATACCTCGCCCACCCACACCACTGTGGTCCCTCCCTTTACTCCCGCCACCTCACACCGTGGCGCATTTTGTCTCGCGTTGATGAGAAACAGTGACTCTCGGGCCGGCGTGAGGAGGTACTGCCCGAACAGCCCGCTGTCCCTCACAATCCTGCGGGGCCCAGCCCAGGCTCGGGCTGGCCCCGCGGGCGCGGGCGGCTCCTTCAAGCCCTTCAGCATGCCTGTCTTCCCCGTGGACAGCTCTAGGAAGAGCAGGTCCGGCTCTGTCTCTAGCGTGGCATAGACGTAGTACTGGTCGCCCTGGGTGAAGGAGGGCTGGAAGGCCACATCTGAGACGCCCTGGCTCACTTTCAGGTCATAGAGGGTCTGGATCTCCCCCCGCAGCGTGATCTCCTGCACGTGAAGCTGGGGGCTGCTGGAGGCGACGCTGACTAGGAAGCGCCCATCGGGGGAAGTGTGTGGGGTGCCGGTAACGTGGCCGTTGGGGCCGACCACGGCGTCTGTGACACTGTCGAGCAGCAGCTGCGGGGCGGCTGGAGAGGAGCTGTGCTGTCGGCACTGGATGAAGAAGTAGCCGCCCAGGTGGGTGTGGGCCATGGCCTGCGGCAGGCAGCCGTGGCTCTGCAGCCTGATGGTCTTGAGGAGCATCAGTGTTTCCAGGTCGACTTTGTGGACTGCAGGGTCAGAGTTGTTGAAGATGAAGCCGAACCTGGGAGGAGACGCAAACTGAGGTCAGAGGTCAGGAGGACTTTTTGGGTAGGGGATAGGTCATTTGTCTCAAACGATGGCATCCTTTCTCTTTTCCTTTATCATAACCCTTTGGTGACTAAAAGCCTATTAATAAGATCTACCATTCTGCAAGAGATGGCTTCATAAGCGATTCATCTATGATCTCAAACCAAATGCAGTTGAGTTACAAAATGTTCCTGGATTTATGCTGTTGTAATATGCACGCATCTTTAGAAAGGGTAAAGGAAGAGCATAATTGTGCCTCAGCAGCTTCTGCCTCGGGGATGCCTTTGATTCAGCTCCCCAGAGGCCTTGTGGCAGCTGGGAAGTGGCGGGCCTGTGGCTGGAGGGAGAGGACAACAGGTGTCTGCCCTGACTCTGCCTGCTAGGGGGACAGGAGAGGTGAGTCTATATCTGAGGTGGTTTTTGGACTACTGGCTGGCTCAGAACTTGGGGATGCAGATGCAAGAGAACAAGGACAGATGTCCTATCCATGCTCCCTTACCCTTGGAGACGAACGTGGGTAAGGGTTGAGGGCAGCCTCTTCCCTGGCCACGTTGATGATGCTGGTCACAGGAAGCCCCTTTGGGCTGGGGCTAAGGACAGCTTTTACCTTTATAGCCAGATGGCCTGGCATTGCTGCGGTGCCCTGCTAGCTGCAGAGCCTGGGGCAAGTTGCTTGCCTCTTCAAGCCCCTGCTAATATAAAGAGAGTAGTTCCTTCCAAGGGCTGTTGGGAGGATTAAATCTAAGAGGGAGCTTTAGTGGAAGAGGTCAGTAGGTGGAAGCTGCCATATCTGGACTTCGTGAAATTCCTCTTTGGAGGCTGGTTGTGAGCTGCAGAAGGGCCTGATTCCAGGCAGGACTTCCCTCTGATTGTGAGAGCCTCTGCCTAAACCCCTCACTTGCAGAGGCCTTTGGGTGCTGTGTACACCTACAGGAGCAGAGAAAAATCTCTTCCACAATTTTCTCTTGAATAACAAGCTGTGCCTCAGAATAGGGGAAATGCCCACTTTACAGCATCTTTAAATTAGCATCCTTAAAGAGCAAGAGCAGGAAAGAAAACCCCATGCTTATAAGAAACTGTAATGTAAAAGTCACACACAGGCGCTGCGGAGCCTGAGTTTGCATGACTCCTGGCTGAATTCAGCTTCTTTGAGGGGTTTTACCATTTATAACCATTTTAGAGGCTCTGTCCCAGGTATTCTCTGCAGTGAGGTAGGGAGGTCATAAAGTGGTTACTTTTTCCCTTGGCCAGAGATGAATGGGAGAGCCCTATTTTTACAAGTCCAGCTTCAGCTTGCAAAAATGAGTCATTTCTCCCTGGAAAAAGGTGCTCGATGTCAGAGTAAAGGAAGGCATAAACACTGCCACAAGACATTTGGGTCTTGATGACTTTATAAAAGGGCATGCTCAGTCTTCTGGCAGTGGTGCCTTGACAGAAAATGTCAGGGGTTCTCTGAAATGAATAGGGAAGGGGAGTGGCCAGGCTGGGATGAGGCTTGCAGTCGAGGCCATGGCTGGTATTATTAAGCTGTTCTTTTGGATGGTGGCAAACCAGACAACGAGGAGGCCTTGTTTCCTTGCAGGCCCCTGCATGGCTGCTCTGGGGACTCCTAGAGGAACCACAGGTTGTGGTTAGCAGAGAATGAGGCCAAATGGGGCACTGAAAGGAGACCCAGCTTTGCATTTAGTCTGACTCTGCCAGTTCCTGGTTGTGTGACTTTGGCCAGTATCTTAACTCCTCTGGGCCTAAGTTTCCTCATCTATAAAACAGATTTGAGACCGCCTCTACTAGTTTCTTGCGTCTAGCAAGGAGAGGGTACTCAATTAACCACAGTTGTTTCCCTCTTTCCTCTGCTGTCCTCATCCAAGGGTGAGACTTCCTGACCTCACTGGGCCCCTGAGGGCATTAGGAGCTGGGTGCCTTCCTTAACTTTAACAATTGAGGACTGGGGATGGGGCCATTTCTCTGTCCATTCCTGATGGGGTCCAAAGCCAGCCCAGGAGGAGTGGGGGAGAAAGAGAAAGGAGCAGGGCCACCCCGGGCGAAGCTGCCCCGTGCAGGGCTGAGCTGGGGCACGGAGTAGGTTAGGGCATTGCGGGCCGGTCTCACCTGACGTGGTTGATGATGAGGTTTGTTGGAGGAATGAAGAAATCGTCCACTCCTGCAAAGGGCGTGCGGATGAGGTGCTGACCCTGACCGGTGCTGGCCTCTGTGATCACCTGCAACACAGAGCGGAAGTCCTTGTGAGGGCCCATCCCAGCGGGGCTTGGAAACCTGCAGACACATGCACGCTTGGGTGGAGACCCCGGCAGACAGGCTGCTTGAGAGAGAGGTGATGGGCAAGTCACCGTCTTGGGCGGGCCAGGAGCAGAGCGGGAGCTGCTTGGGAATGGCATAGGCAGGGACCCATCCTTCCAGGGAGGGGAAGTGGGGAGACAGGAGTGAATGCCTGAATCGCTCCCTCTTGCTCAGTCAGGCCTGCCCCTGACTGACTGTGGTGCATGTTGTCAGCCACCGTGATGTGACAGCAGAGTGAGGACTTGGAGGGGCTGTGTTGGGGCTTCTGAGGGAGGGTCCTCGGAACCTAAGCATCTCTGCTCAGAGACAGCCTCCTCCACGACAGGGAGTTCCACCTTCTCAACACTTAGGCTACCCTGGGAAAGGCGGCGAGGTTTTAAATAACAAAAATGCTAAACGCTGGAATCACTGACTGGCTCTGTATTTTCCCTTGATGCCAGGCACCTGGGCTGGTTTGTTGAGAGTCTCTGTCATATGCGCCTCACAGAGGCGCTCTCTGAGAACTGTGACTCCATAATTTATTAGAGAAAGCAGGCATCCTGTCAGAGGTGCTGGCCGTGTCATTTATTTTATTATTTATTTATTTATTTAAACATCCTTATTGGAGTATAATTGCTTTACAATGTTGTGTTACTTTCTGCTGTACAACAAAGTGAATCAGCTATATGCATACATATATCCCCATATCCCCTCCGTCTTGCGTCTCCCTCCCACCCTCCCTATCCCACCCCTCTAGGTGGTCACAAAGCACCGAGCTGATCTCCCTGTGCTATGCGGCTGCTTCCCACTAGCTATCTATTTTACATTTGGTAGTGTATATATGTCCATGCCACTCTCTCACTTCGTCCCAGCTTACCCTTCCCCCTCCCCGTGTCCTCAAGTCCATTCTCTACGTCTGCGTCTTTATTCCTGTCCTGACCCTAGGTTCTTCAGAACCATTTTTTTTTTTTTTTTTAGATTCCATATATATGTGTTAGCATACGGTATTTGTTTTTCTCTTTCTGACTTACTTCACTCTGTACGACAGACTCTAGGTCCATCCACCTCACTGCAAATAACTCAATTTCGTTTCTTTTTATGGCTGAGTAATATTCCATTGTATATATGTGCCACATCTGCTTTATTCATTCATCTGTCGATGGACACTTAGGTTGCTTCCATGTCCTGGCTATTGTAAATAGAGCTGCAATGAACATTTTGGTACATGACTCTTTTTGAATTATGGTTTTCTCAGGGTATATGCCCAGTAGTGGGATTGCTGGGTCGTATGGTAGTTCTATTTTTAGTTTGTTAAGGAACCTCCATACTGTTCTCCATAGTGGCTGTATCAATTTACATTCCCACCAACAGTGCAAGAGGGTTCCCTTTCTCCACACCCTCTCCAGCATTTATTGTTTCTAGATTTTTTGATGATGGCCATTCTGACTGGTGTGAGATGATGTCTCATTGTAGTTTTGATTTGCATTTCTCTAATGATTAATGATGTTGAGCATCCTTTCATGTGTTTGTTGGCAATCTGTATATCTTCTTTGGAGAAATGCCTGTTTAGGTCTTCTGCTCATTTTTTGGATTGGGATGTTTGTTTTTTTGATATTGAGCTGCATGAGTTGCTTGTGAATTTTGGAGATTAATCCTTTGTCAGTTGCTTCATTTACAAATATTTTCTCCCATTCTGAGGGTTGTCTTTTGGTCTTATGATTTCCTTTGCTGTGCAAAAGCTTTGAAGTGTCATTAGGTCCCATGTGTTTATTTTTGTTTTTATTTCCCTTTCTCTAGGTGGGGGGTCAAAAAGGACCTTGCTGTGATTTATGTCATGGAGTGTTCTGCCTGTGTTTTCCTCTAAGAGTTCGATAGTGTCTCGGCCATTTCATTTAAATGCCTGTGATTAGGATGCTGGGGAGGGTTCCAGTTTCACAAAGGGGGCTTGCTGTGAGAAGTGAAGAATTAGTCCCTGTGTTTTGTACAAATTGGTAGTTTGACAGAGCATGCTGCCTCTGTTCCCCTGGAGGTACCACTTTCTCCCCTGCGTGCTTGGCAGGAAGCGACCTGAGCCATTCCTCGGTGTGTGCCCCTGCTGTGTCTGTATCAGGGAAGGGCACGGTGGCAGCACAGAACAGAGCCAAGTGATGTCTGGGATTAGACAGGATGAGAGCATGGTTTGGAGGCCCTGCCAGAAAGCGCCCCCCGTGGTCAGGCTGGGCTTTTATCCATCAGCTACTGAGGCCTTGGGCACAGGCAGGCTGGAGACACTGAGCCAGCCATCCTGTGTCCTCTCGCTTTCTGCATGTGCTCTTCAGCCTCCAAGTTCCAGGTGATTGCCCAGAAGGGTGGCAGACCTGCAGCCAGATGAGGGGCTTGGCCAGCTTGTGGGCAATTTTGGCTGGAGGACCCCAAGGACAAGCCCAGACCCTCTTAGCAGGACAGGAGGCAGATGCCAGACCCTGACCAGGGAGGGGAGACACTTTTCCTGATCTTCAGTGTTGTGGCCATTTATACAGAAGGAAGGATTCAGATTTTTGCAGCCTGAGGCTGAGGACAGTTTGTGATGGGGCTTTGTGACTCACATGGCCTCGAGCTCTGGATGCTTTTGCCTTTTAAGAGTGGGACTGCCTTCTGCCTCTTACTTTAATGACAAGACAAACAGCACCTGCACTGCTTCCTCCGGCAGGTTTGAGGCTTTAGTTTTTTGGATTGTGCTTCCCTTGAGGGGTCAGCAGGCAGAATGCAGGATTAGAATGATGAGAGCTGTGATTTTCAGTCTTGGGGCAGCTCTAAAGTTAGGCTATTTTCATGTGATTTTAAATAAAAAAGGCCAAATGACACTTCCATGGCAAGTCCATGGGAAAAGCTTAGAACTAGGCATTAAGAAAATATCAATATTAGGAAACTGGATCTTAGAGAGTCCAGGTGAAAATGCCAGAGAATTCCAAGAAGCCATGCAATCATTGCTTGATATAAGGTCTGTCATTTTAGCTTATAATAGAGATGGAAAATTACAGGCTGTCAGCAGTCAGTGTCATTCATGCTTCACCACCCTGACACCCTATATTCAGAGGTTACTTCATCAAAACCCGGTGTCATGGGCCACCGAACTGATATGGGCTAGTCAGCCTCATTTCTCCAATGAGTCATGAATTCCTTCTTGGCCTGTGTCCCAGCGCATGGCTGGGCACATTTGTGACCAAAAGATAATTGTTGAGCCTCTCAAATTTCCTGGCTCTAGGGGCTTGGTTCAGGAGATGCACATAGTTGGCTGGGTATCAGGAGATGTAAGTTAGTAGTGAGTGTGGGGTAGGGAAGTCTGAGCATCTGCTTCCGAGGCGTGGACAAAACCAGGTGAGAGGTGACAGCTGGGGAAGGGCAGGGTGCAAGATATCGAGTGGGATGGGGAGAGAGGCAGCTGAAAGCTGCGAGTGGGTGGGCGAGAGCATGATGGGCAGGATTCGAGACGGTGCCAAAGGTTCTAACACTGGCTCCTGGGGCAGGGCCTTGGTGGAATAAGCCTCATTTATAGAACCACCTTCATTTAGTCATAGCAAAGCTTGTTTAACCAATTCCTTAGTGTTGGATATTTAGAAACATTAAGATGGTATTTTCAATGTTTTGCAAATATAAACATTGCAGTAACACACAATGTTGTAGCTAAATCTTTGTGCCCATCCCTGATCGTCACCTTTGGATAAGTTCTGAGAGGTCAAGTTGCTGGATTGAAAGCAATGTTCTGAGGCTTTTGGTTCACATTTCCAAATTGCTCACCGTAAAGGCTCTGCCCACTGACATTTCCAGGAGCAGTTTCTGCAAGCAGTGGTTTCCTGAACCCTAGTCCACAGAGATGAAGGTAGGTTTATTCAATTTATTTCATTTTCTTGTCATAGTGCATTTCTGAGACTTTCCAATTATGGTGATGGTGGGCATAATGGTCTAATTCCTGCTATTAATTAAAATGCTTTTAGTGTTTTGTCATTTAGGCAAAATTTCCTCTTGGTTTCTTGGAAATAGTCTTCATTATGTTTATGTCTTCTATTTCTATTTTTAGTTTTTTTAAAAAAATTAAGAATGTCTGCTGTATTTAGTTAAATGCCTTTCCAGCATTTACTGAAAATATTATAGCTTTTTTTCTGTTTCGTGTTATGAGTAATGTTGACTGATTTCCTGAGAGTGAACCATTACTACATCCCAGGAATTTGTTCCCTGCTCGAGCAGTTAGATGCATTGTTGGACTCTATTTTTAATACCATGTTTAGAACTTTGCTTCTGTATTCATAAGTGAGATTAGTTGATAGTTTTATTTTTTAATTTTTTTGAATTTTATTTTATTCATGTTTTTATACAGCAGGTTCTTATTAGTTATCTATTTTATACATATTAGTGTATACATTGTCAATCCCAATCTCCCAATTCATCCCACACCCCCACACCCCCCAGCAGCTTTCCCCCCTTGGTGTCCATACGTTTGTTCTCTACATCTGCGTCTCTGTTTCTGCCCTGCAAACCGGTTCATCTGTACCATTTTTCTAGGTTCCACATATATGCGTTAATATACGATATTTGTTTTTCTCTTTCTGACTTACTTCACTCTGTGTGACAGTCTCTAGATCCAACCACGTCTCTACAAATGACCCAATTTCGTTCCTTTTTATGGCTGAGTAATATTCCATTGTATATATGTACCACATCTTCTTTATCCACTTGTCTGTTGATGGGCATTTAGGTTGCTTCCATGACCTGGCTATTGTAAGTAGTGCTGCAATGAACACTGGGGTGCATGTGTCTTTTTGAATTATGCTTTTCTCTGGGTATATGCCCAGTAGTGGGATTGCTGGGTCATATGGTAATTCTATTTTTAGTTTTTTAAGGAATCGCCATACTGTTCTCCATAGTGGCTGTATCAATTTACATCCCCACCAACAGAGCAAGACGGTTCCCTTTTCTCCACACCCTCGCCAGGATCTGTTGTTTGTAGATTTTCTGATGGTGCCCATTCTAACTGGTGATAGTTTTATTTTTTAATACTAAGGAGTTGCACATTTTTTTCCATATGGTCTTGGATAGTTCAAATGATATTAAAATTATCTACATTTGAAAGGTTTGATAAAACTTGGCTGTATATTTTTCTATGGTAGATCTTTGATCTTTAAAAAACCTCTTCTCTGTTAATTGTTCTATTTCAAGTTTTCCTTTTCTTAGGTTAGTTTTTTTTCCTCCTTCTTCTTAATTTTTTTTTATTGAAATATAGTTGATTTACAATGTTGTGTTAATTTCTGCTGTACAGCAAAGTGACTCAGTTATACATATATATTTTAAAATTTATATAAATATTACATAACTATTATATCTTTTCCATTATGGTTCATCCCAGGACATTGAATATACTTCCCTGTGCTATACAGTGGGACCTTGTTGTCCATCCATTCTATATGTAATAGTTTGCATCTGCTCACCCCAAACTCCCAGTCCATCCCTCCCCCGCCCCCACACCCTTCCCCCTTGGCAACCACAAGTCTGTTCTCTATGTCTGTGAGTCTGCTTCTGCTTGGTAGATAGATTCATCATATTTTAGATTTCATATATAAGTGATATCACATGGTACTTGACTTTCTCTTTCTGACTAGGTCAGTTTGTTTTTTTCCCCTGTATTTTGCAAACAATCATCCATTTCTTCTAGGTCTTAAAATTTGCCGCCCCAGAGTTGCAGTGTAGTATTATTTTACAATTATTTTCATCCTCCTTTATCTGCAGTAATATGTCTTTTCTCATTTCTCATTTTGTTTATATTCTTTTTTCTTTATCAGGTTTGTGAAGGATTTATTGGTTTTTGTTTGCCCTTTTTTTATTTCTACTAATTTTAGTCTTTTAAATAATTCCTTCCTGCCAGTTACTTTGTTCTTTTTCTTATTTCTTAATACAAATACATTCTCTGCAGGCTTTTAAGACACAGATATTCCTTGTGTACAGCTTTCTCTGTATCCTGTAGGTTTTGATGAGAAGTAGTCTCTTTTTCATTGCTTTTGAGACAGTTTGTAATTTCTCCTTTTAATTTCCTCTTTGATGCAGTAGTGATCTAGGAGTGTTTCCTTATTAGGTAGGTCACATTTTAATTGTTTCTAATTATCAGATAATGTAGGCTATAACACTGACTTTTACAAAATTTGCTAAATTTTTATTTGTGTTTACTGACGTGGACATGTGAAAAATTTCTATTTGGCAGAGGAAAGGTTTTCTATATATTTATTAAACCAAGTTCCTTATTCATATTATTCATTTTTCCCATGTCATTATTTTGTCTCTTTGGAATGTACAATTTCAGTGCATTGTAAATCAAGTTCTTGTATTTTTAATCACTCTTGTATTATGTATTTAGTTATGTTGTTTGCTATCTGTTGGCTGTTTATCTTCACATAATGCTTCTCCTTCTGCTGTTTAGTGCTTTTAACCTTAAATTTGACCTTGTCTGATATTACACTCATACATCTTTTTGTCCACCTACCATCACTACTATTTCCACCCCTTTCAATTCAACCTTTTATTATCACTTTATGGGTTTCCTGTAAACAAGTTACAGCTAGTTTTCTCTCCCTCCCTTCCAAACCCAATCTCATCATCTCTGCTTTTAATAGGAGAAATCAGTTTGTCACATTTGGAATAATTAGACAGTTAACTATCATCTCAACTATTAATTTCAAAGAACATTCTCTATATCCTCTCTTATCCCTGTAAGATGACATTTTTGAGTATTTTTACTCTCCTCCACTCCCTACCCTTACTTTTACAGAAATAACTTATCATCTTTAGTTAGAGCCTGGTATCAGAATTTCTCTTTCAGTCCATTTCTCCTAATTCAAATGCCCTTATTTAGCACTTATTAATACATTTCCAGGTAGTCTCTCCTCATCCATCTTTTTTATTTTTGGACCTTCCTCTCTAGGTTTCTTACTTAGGCCTGTTTCCTCTTTATCTTTTGCCATCTCGATGTCTCTGATCTGGTTCACCTACTGTTCTTCTGGTATCTTTCATGATCTGCTCTCTGAATTCTTGCATATCCTTAGGTCTTTCTTTTGTCCTGACAGGTAAATGATACCTTGGATATCAGCCCTTTTATCTTAATAGCATGTAGATATGATGCCACGGTCTTCCAGCAGCTGTTGCAGGTGAGAAGTCCAGTGCCAACCTAATTGTTCTTTTACAGGTGACTTTTCTTTCTGCCTTGAAGCTTGTAATATTTTTCCTTTATTCTTGGAAGTCCAGAGTTTTACCAAGAGCAGAGATGTGTTATTTCTCCTCAAGTTAGCCTAGAACTTACAGATCCCTTTTAATCTACATAATTTACTTTTTCAACTTGGAAATTTTCTTCCAAATTTATTTAATGTTTGACTCCATTCCAACTATTACCTTTTCTCTTTCTAAACTTCTTTTGACTTTGAAACATCTTTTGAGACTTCATATCTCAATCTTGTATTCTGTGATTTGAGGATTTTTCTTTATCTTTCAGGCTACTGTTTTGAGTCTCAGTAGAAACCATGCATTTTCAACTCATCTATCTACTGCAGTTTTAAATTAGGAAATCATTTTATGTTAAATTTTAGTTTTAGAAAAATATTTTTTGGTGGCCCCTCCCCTTGAATTTCCTTACATGCTTTCTTAGAGCTGCCAGAGGAACCAGTTTTCTGGGCTTATATACTCTGTTCTAAGTGACCTTTACTCCGGCTCCCAGGTCCTCTAATGAATTGTTATTATTTGTCATCAGCTCACTGGGGCCCAGGATGTGTTGATGCTGTTCACTGAGGGACAATAGTCTTGTTTTATAGGAGGTGAAGTAGTGTCCTTCCCCTGGCCCAGCAGCACAGAGGTAGGTAAGGCAGGTGGCCAGTCCCCAGGAGGAAGCTTCTGTAGACTGGGTATCCCTGGCCTCTTACCAGTCTTGGGAACAGTGTGAACTTGGCTCCATCCGCAGCCCTTCTCAGCTGGGGTTCTGAGAGAGAGAAAAGCCCTAATATCCCAAGGAATCCACTGTATGCAGTGAATTCTCTTCTGTGCATCTAGAATTGTTCTATGCACCATCATTGGGAGAATCGAGGGACCAGGCCTTCAAATCACCTTTTGTAGGGCTTAATCCTCTCATGTACCCCTGATGAGAAAGGCTGAGCCGGACACACTCAACATAGGGTTGGTGATGACCTTCCCCGACTGGTGGAGGAAGGGATCCCACAGATGTCCTGGTCTCAAGCTCTTCCCAAGAGGCAGTACAACACAGTGGCTGAATGTATGGGCTGCAGGGCTGAATGTAGGCCTAGGTTGGACCAGGGGCCAGTTATTGGAACTTCCTGTGCCTGGAACACTGTGAGCACTCAGAGTAATGTGCTTCCATTTATGAACATAATTGCTGCTGCTGCTTTTCCTTCTCCTTCCTTATCATCTGGTACCTGCTTTGACAGTGTTCTCCAGCCCATGCAGCCCAAGGTAAAGAAAGCCCTGGCTCCCTTCTCACTGCTTGAAGTCCAGAGGTTCATTTCTGCTTGGCCCCAGGAGCCCCTGGCTCAGAAGAGGCAACTGTATTGGGGCTGGGCTGGGTGGGGCCCAAGAGCCACATTCTGGTTGTCATGACATTAGAATCTTATCCATCGTCAGTGTTATTGTCTTTAATAGCAGGCCTGGCGGAAGATACCCTGTTCATTGCCTATAACGGGCATTATCCTGAGGATGTTTCCTACTCTCTCCTTAGCCTTCATGGACATACTTTGGATAAATGTGATTAGCCACCTAGGGAAGCAGGAGACATTTATTAGCTAGGGAGAGAGCCCTTTCCTGCAGGTGGGTGTTGTCTTCCATGTACTCAACATACCTGGAGGCTTGGTTGGGACTTATGCACGTTCCCCCAGCTCAGGACCCACACTTGGTCATGTGATTTGTCATAGGACAACTTAGCCGGCAGAGGGTCGACACCTATGGACTTGAAAAAAAATAGCGACAAGTTGGTCATTGTTGTAGAAGCTGATTCATTTCTAGGCCACTCTTGGGTGAGTGGAAAGCCAGCCTAGCAGCCTTGAGAATGAGCCAGTTTGGGAACCCAGGGTAGAAACATCCCTTCTGGGTTTGTCTTCAGAGGCATAAAATTGGTTGTCAGTAATGTTCTTCCTTTTAAAAATTTCTTGCAGGGACTTCCCTGGTGGCGCAGTGGTTAAGAATCTGCCTGCCAGTGCAGGGGACATGGGTTCGAGCCCTGCTCCGGGAAGATCCCACATGCTGTATAGCAGCTAAGCCCATGTGCCACAACTACTGAGCCCACGCGCCTAGAGCCCATGCTCCGCAACAAGAGAAGCCACTGCAATGAGAAGCCTGCGCACTGCAAGGAAGAGTAGGCTCTGCTCGCTGCAACTAGAGAAAGCCTGCGTGCAGCAACGAAGACCCAACACAGCCAAAAAGTAAATAAAAAATTTATTTAAAAAAAAATTCTTGGGCTTCCCTGGTGGCACAGTGGTTGAGAGTCCGCCTGCCGATGCAGGGGACGCGGGTTCGTGCCCTGGTCCGGAAGGATCCCACGTGCCACAGAGTGGTTGGGCCTGTGTGTCCGGAGCCTGTGCTCTGCAGTGAGAGAGGCCGCAGCAGTGACAGGCCCGTGTACCGCAAAAAAAAATTCTTGCATGTCTTACTTAAAGGGTACCCAGACCATCTTGGCAAAAGCCTAAACACAGAGTTTTTTTTTTTTTTCAGTTTTCCACTCAAGAATCAGCTTCAGGACCCTCCCATCACTTCTCCTGTAAGCCTTTGGGGCCTCTTGAACCCTCAGCATCCTTCTCTAGCTCTTCTTCCTGGGTCACCTGAGACTGACTTTGAACTCATCCATTATCACCTGTCTGTCTCTTAACTAACTTCGTGCAGACTGTATCTGGTACATCATTCACCTGGAGCCTCTGGGACTCAGACTGTAGCATCAGGCAGAGTCTTTTTCTACTGCTGTAACTGAAACTGCTATTTTCTGAGGACAGAGCTTCCCCAGTGGCCCTGTCAAATGGTGACTTTTCTACTTCTCAGAATGTAGTTTTATAAGTTTCAAAACTCTGTTTTGTTATGCCACTATGACCCCCTGCTCTTTTTGGCATTGGCCAAAGTTCTAGTCTCTCCCTTTGTTCACTAAAGATGCTCTGTTTTCTCTGTCACTCCCTGAGTCCCCAACTTTGGTGCCTTCATTCAAAGTCCTGCTTTCTCAGTTCCTTCTTGGTTTCGGTGATCTTTACCTCTTCCCCACTGCAGCCACCATAACTTAAACCTTGTCAACAAATTTCTGAAATTTCAGTCCACCATATTCTAGCCTTTCTGATCTTGGGGGAAAACCATCTTTGCCCCCACTGGTTAAAACTTCTCTAAAGAAATGTCTATGGAGTCCCTGAAACCACTTCCTCTTAACTGTTTGTCTTCACCACTCCACTGAACTGCTCTAGAGCTTCATGTCAAATTCAGAGATCACTGTGTGATCCTCCTATAACTTTTCACCAAGATTCCACATGGTTAACCATTCCCTTCTGGAAACATTTTCTTCACTCAGCTTCCCATCTCCCTGGCTTCTCTTCCTCATCCTGACTTCTAAATGGTGGCATGTCCCCCGTCTTCATCTTTGACCTTGTCTCTGTCTATATCCTTTCCCTGGGTGAGCTCATTCAATACATGGCTTCAAATAACCCATTATACTCTGATGACTTTAGAATTCATTCCTCTGTCGATGACCACAACTTTATACAAATCTGAACTCCTGATTTTGCCTATCCCTGATGAAATATATTTCTTCTCCAGTCATCAGCATCTTTGAAGTCTCCTTGTACTTTCTTGCTCTAATTAAAACTTCCTCTGCCCTGAAGCCTCAAGTAGAGGCTGTTTCTGTTTTCCTACACTTCACATACCCCAGGTCCCAGGTCCTTTGTTCATGCCTCCAGCTACTCTTCCTTGATCCTCTCATCCTGGCTGCTTCCCTTCATTTACCAAAGGCTTTATGATCTGGCACTGTCTTCCTCTACCCAGAGCTTCTTTTCTCACCAGTAATGATACCATCCTGACACTATCTCTAGTTTCTTATATTTTCTCTCTCACTCTTGTAAAAACCCTCTTGATTACACATTCTCCTCCAGGTATCCCATTTGTCTGCCCTCTTCACAAACTTCCCCGAAGTTTAGACTGCAGGCATTATCTCTCCTTTCTGCTTAACTTTCTCTAATCATTTTTCATATTCTCATTCTGACTGAGGGGGTACGGAGTAGGAGACTGAAAACGTAAACCAAAAATCTCTTACATTCAGAACAGAGCTTTCCACAGTCTCAATATGCTAAGGAGCAAAGACATGGAAGGGAAAAGGTCCTGAAGAACACACAAGGCTCTCAGTTTAAAGACCTTACCTACTAGGAGTGAATCAGAGACTGACTAAGCCTTATGAAAGCTGCAACTCAGCCTTGATTCAACTTAGTACTTGATTAAAGTGATTCATTCATATACTGTCTCTCTTCCTAGCAGAGAAAAGGGTAAACCCTCGTCAGTGGATGACAGCCATTTAAAGTCTCTACAATGTAATATGGAATTACTAGGCATTCCAAGATACAGCTTATATAACTGAAAGCAACATAAAAAAGACAACAGAAACAGACTCACAGGTGATCCATAAAAAAATAATTTAAAAATTGTGTATATAAAAGGAATTAAGCAGAAATTCTAAAAGTGAAAAAATGCAACACCTGAAATTAAGATCTCAATAAATAGGTTTTGTTATATATACCTTAGACACAGTGGAATATAGGATTATTGAACTGAAAGACAAGTTGATAGCATATGCCCAAACCGAACCACAAGAGATAAAAAGGATGGAAAATGAGAGTGAAAGAGATGTGTGGGACACAATGCAAAGGTCTAACTTTTTTTCTCTCAGAGTTCCCAAGGAAGAGGTGAGAGAGAATGAGGCAGCAGAATATTTGAAGAAATAATGGTTGAGAATTTTCCAGTCTGATTAAAGATATTAATCTACACATTTAAGAACCTCTGAAAACCCCAAATCAGAATAAATACAAAGAACACCATACCTGGGCATGTAAAACTGCTAAAGACCAAAGAGAAAATCTAGAAAGTAGCCAGAGAGAAAAAAGAGAGACATTATCTTCAAAAGAGAGACAATAAGACTGACAGTTGACCTATTAACAAAAACAATGGAAGATAATGAAACGGCATCTTAAAATGCAGAAAGAATTTAACTGCCAATGTAGCACTCTATATCCAGTGCAAATATCCAACAAACAAAAACTATGAGAATCTGTTGCCAGCAGACCTGCACTAAAAGAACTATTAAAGAAACTTGTTCAGTCACAATGAAAATGATCCCAGACAGAACTATGTACTTCAGGAAAGAATAAAGAGCAATGGAAAAGGTAAATATGTGGGTGAATGTAAATGACTATCAGCTGTACAAAATAATAATAATAGTCATGTCTTGTGGGGTTAAATCACATGTAGAATTAAAATTCATTCCCACAATAGTGCCAAAGGCAGGAGGAAGGTTAAAGGAGTTAAAATGTTCTAAGGTTCTATCATTATTGGGCAAGTGAAGCAATAATTTGTATGAGACTGTATTGAGGCAAGGATGCATGTTGTAATCTCTATGGTGGTAATAATAACAACAATGATAAAAGAATGCACGGACAACAAGCTAACAGAGGGAGAAATAGAACAAAAATGTTTGACTAATCCAAAAGAAAGCTAAAAGAAGAAAAAAGCAACATAAAGAGGTAGGTCAAATGAAAAAACAGTAAGACGGTAGACATAACCATATAATTACACCAAAAATACATGGATCAAATAATCCAAGTAAAAGATCAAGATTATTAAACTAGATAAAAGCCAAAATCCAAATACATGTGGCTTTATAAGAGATCACTTTTTAAGTATATGAGATAGAAAGATTGAAAGTGAACGAATGGAAAAATTATACCATGGTAACACTAATCAAAATAAATCTGATTTAGCTATATTAATATTAGACAGAATGGACTTTCAGGCAAGAAGCTTTGCCAGAGATAAAGAGGGGTATTTTGTAAGAAGAAAGAAGTCTTCCCCCCCAGGAAGATACTATAATTTTAAAGCAAAAATGGATGGAACTTGATAAATCTACAATCACAGTGGGAGACGTCAACATGCCTCTCAGCAGCAGGTAGACTAAGTAGACAAAAAAATCACTTAGAATATCTGAGCAATACAATAAACCAACTTGACATAATTGACATGTATGTAAAATCTACCTAAAACATTAGGATACACATTCTTTTAAAGTGCACATAGAACATTTATGAAAGTTGATAAGCTGAGTTATAAAGCAAGCTTCAATAAATTTCAAAGGATTGAAATTATTCAGAGTACTTTTCTCTGGCCAGGGACATCAATAACAAAAAGATAGCTGGGAAGTCTCCTATTTTTCAGGAGAAACCACAACCACAACCCTGGTTTTTATACAACTTTCTCCCAACAATGATCCTGCACCTGGGCAGCTGAGCATTCCTGGGAAAAAAAGATACAACCCTCCTCACTGGTCTGACTTTACATTTGCACCCGTCATCCTTAAGTGGGCCTTCACTATTGCCCTGCAGTCCTGTCACATTTCCCTGGTCAGTTCAATCTCACATCCAACTCTTACCTCTTTCCTTAGACCTCCAGCCTTGGTGATAATTTTCCTTCTTATTTCACTGAGGAAATAAAGGCAACCAGAAGAGAAGGTCATCCAGCTATCACCAATTGTATCACCTATTTGTACCTGTGCCTGAATACTTTCTATTTCTTCCTGTTATGTTGAAAGAATGTGCTTTTATCTTAGGCTAGCATATCTACTTGTATGATCTGGATTCCACTGACTACTGCCTACTTCGATGATGCAGAAGAAAGGGAAGAATTGTGGGAGAAGTTTTTCCCATTAGCATACAAATGCTGTAATATCACCTATTCTAAAAGTTTCTTCAGCATCCTCTTCCAGCTACTGCCTCATTTGTCTACTTTTTCTCATATTTATAGCAAAACCCCTGAAAATAGTTGTCTATATTCACCATCTCTACTCCCTCCGATTCTAACTTGAATCCACCCCCTCAGGCTTGCATTCTGCCATTATAGTCCTATCTGTTCCCGCCAAGGTGATCCATGTGGTACCAAATCAGATGGTTAGTTCTCAGTCGTCATAACATACAAATGCTTTCAGCAACCTTTGACACCACTGGCCACTAGCTCTCCCTTAAAAAGCTCTTTTCTTGGCTTGTGGAACACCACCCTCTCCTCATTTTTCTTCCTACCTTTCAGGCTACTCCTTCTTGGTCTCCTTTGTTGTCTTCCTCTGTCATTCCTGATCTTTAAGTGTTGGAATACTTCAAGCCTCCAACCTTGACCTCTTTTCTATCTGTACTTCCCTCCAGTTAACTGGATTTAACACAGTTCACATGGGGATGATGCCCACATTCATATCTCCAGCCTAGACCTCTCCTTTGACTCCAGACCTATTTATCCAATTACATATGTATATATATATAAAATGGCAGCTCAAGCTTAACAAATCTAAAGCTGAATTACTAATTTTCCCCTGTATCTGCTTCATGACTTGTATCCCCTGCCTTGCTCAAAGCCTCTATCAGAGTGTATTAGCTTCCTATTGCTGCAGTAACATTGCCACAAACTTGGTGGTTTAAAACAACACAAACTTATTCTCTTACAGTTCTGAAGGACAGAAGTCCAAAATTAATCTCACTGGCAGAATAAATATGTATGCAAGGTAGTGCTCCCTCTAGAGGCTCTAAGAATAAATATGTATGCAAGGTAGTGCTCCCTCTAGAGGCTCTAAGGGAGAATGCATCTCCTTGCTTTTTCTAGCCTCTAGAGCTGCATTCCTTGGCTTATGGCCTCTCCCTCCAATCTTCAAAGCCAGCAGTGTAGCAAACCTGCTCTAGTCCTTAAACTGCCTCCTCCTTCTATGTTGTCACATTTTTTCCTGCCTCCCTCTTATGAGGATACTTGTGCTTGCAGTTAGGGCTTGCCCAGATAATCCAGGATAACTCCCCATTTAAAAATCCTTAATTTGAACAAAAATGTTTACAATTTGCATGGAAACTCAAAAGACCCCAAATAGGCAAAGCAATCTTGAGAAAGAAAAACAGAGCTGAAGGCGTCAGACTCCCTGACTTCAGACCATACTACAAAGCTACAGTCATCAAAACAGTATGGTATTGGCACAAAACTAGAAATATAGATCAATGGAACAAGATAGAAAGTCCAGAGATAAACCCACACACCTATGGCCACCTAATCTATGAGAAAGGAGGCAAGAATATACAATGGAGAAAAGACAGTCTCTTCAAAAGTGGTGCTAGGAAAACTGGACAGCTACATGTAAAATAATGAAATTAGAACATTCTCAAACACCATACACAAAAATAAACTCAAAATGGATTAAAGACCTAAATGTAAGGCCAGACACTAAAACTGTCAGAGGAAAACATAGGCAGAACGCTTTTTGACATAAACTGCAGCAAGACCTTTTTTGATCCACCTCCGAGAGTAATGAAAATAAAAAGAAAAATAAACAAATGGGACCTAATGAAACTCTAAAGCTTTTTCACAGCAAAGGAAACCGTAAACAAAACGAAAAGACAACCCACAGAATGGGAGAAAATATTTGCAAACGAAGCAACTGACAAGGACTCAATCTCCAAAATACACAAACAGCTCATGCAGCTCAATATCAGACAAACAACCCAATCAAAAATGGGTCAGAAGACCTAAATAGACATTTCTCCAAAGAAGACATACAGGTGGCCAAAAAGCATGTGAAAAGCTGCTCAACATCACTAATTATTAGAGAAGTGCAAATCAAAACTACAGTGAGATATCACCTCCCACCAGTCAGAATGGCCATCATCAAAAAGTCTACCAACAATATACGCTGGAGATGGTGTGGCGAAAAGAAAGCCCTCCTACACTGTTGGTAGGAATGTAAATTGGTAAAGCCACTATGGAGAACAGTATGGAGTTTCCTTAAAAAACTAAAAACAGAGTTACCATATGATCCAGCAATCCCACTCCTGAGCATATATCTGGAGAAAACCATAATTTGAAAAGATCCATGCATCCTAATGTTCATTGTAGCATTATTTACTGTAGCCAAGACATGGAAGCAGCCTAAATGTCCATCGAAAGAGGAGTGGAAAAAGAAGATGTGATACACACAGACACAGACACAGACACACACACACACACACACACACACAATGGAATATTACTCAGCCATAAAGAAGAATGAAATAATGCCATTTGCAGCGACATGAATGGACCTAGAGATTCTCATACTAAGTGAAGTAAGTCAGACAGAAAGACAAATATCATATGATATCACTTACATGTGGACTCTAAAAAAATGATACAAATGAACTTATTACAAAATAGAAATAGAGTCACAGATGTAGAAAACAAACTTACGGTTACCGGGGGGAAAGAGTGGGGGAGGGATAAATTGGGAGATTGGGAATGACATACACACATTACTATAGATAAAATAGACAACTAATACGGACCTATTGTGTAGCACAGGGAACTCTACTCAGTACTCTATAATGACCTATATGGGAAAAGAATCTAAAAAAAAAAGTGGATATATGTATATGTATGACTGATTCACTTTGCTGTACAGCAGAAATGAACACAACATTGTAAATCAACTATATGCCAATAAAGAAAAGTAAAAAAAAAAATCTTAATCGTACCTGCAGAATCCCTTTTGCTGTATAAGGTGACATTCATAGGTTCTGAGGATTAGGGTGTGGACATCTTGGGGGCCATTCTTCATCCCACCACACATAGTAAATGGCATCACATTCTACAGTTGCTTAAATTATTATTATTATTACAATTATTATGATTCCTTTCCCTCAAACCTTACATTCAATCGAGCAGAAAATCTTTTGGGGTCTACATTTAAAATACAGCAAGACTTTGGTAGCTTCTTACCACCTCCACTGCTGTCATCACCTTGCCCAGATTATTTCAGTGACCAATATCTCTGTTCTATCTTCCAGTCTGCCCTTAACTGAGCAGCAGATTGACTCTTTAAAAATGTCAGATTATGTGACTCCCCTAATTAAAACACCTGAATGTCTGGCTATCTCACTGGCCTTTGTCTACCCCTGACTTCGCCACATCCTACTCTCCCCTTCCTGGCTGTGCTCCAGTCCCACTGGCCTTCCCTCTGCTCCCAGAGCAGGAGTCCCACCTGGCATTCAGATCTCAGATTCTGTTCACTTCCAGAGTGAGGCCCACTTAAAAAGAGTCTTCCAGTTCCTCTGTCCCTTTCAACCTGTAAATAGCTCTTACCACCTATAGCTCCCTAAAATTCTGATTTATGGTCTGTCTCCCCAGCTAGAATATAATTTCTAGGACTTGCTCATTCGTGGCTGTTTTCCAAGCACCTAGACCAAAGTTTGGCATGCAGTAGGCGATAAATACTTGATGAAAAATGCACATGAATCTTCTTTGCTCCCTCCCACTTCTGACCACCTCTCCTAGGAGCTGGGGAGTGTGTGGAAAACAAAGAAGGATGTGGCCGGCTGTGCCCCAGAACTGGAAGCTCCCCCCTCCCTCAGAGAGATGTACCTGGAGGACTTTCTGGGCCTGCACGTCGACCACGAGGACTCTGCTCAGCGCGGGCTGGGCCACGTAGATGTAGCGGTGCCTGACATTCACTGCTGAGGCCCACTGGCAGGGCTGGGTGGTGCCTCCTTCCCTTTGAGGACAGATTTCTTCCTGTAAAGGAGATAGGTTGCCATATGTCTTCTTAATTTCCTGTTCCCCCATCATTGCTGGGTTCCCTCTCCCCGAGCCTGCTCTGTCCCTTTCTTCCTCTCTCAGAAGTCTTCACATCCAAAGAGTACGGTACGTGAGCCCTCCCGCATCACCAGGTTTTCACTCCACGTTCGTTCATCTTTCACCTCCTCCCGCTCTTACTGAGGCTGTAACTCCCTTTGCCGGCCTCTCAGTCAGCAGCTGGGTGGTCTGTGTTATTCCACTCTTGTGAGCTACCTTCTCCCTTTCCTCATCCCCATCCATCGTATAAACAACTTCTGTCAATGACCAGACTCCTGAAGGAGTTACCTATGCACTCTCAGCTTCCTCACCTCTCACAAGCTCCTTAATCCTCTGGCTCTAGTCCTCAGCACAGAGCTGGTGGTGTTCTTACCGAGCTCCAGGCTGACTTCTCAGTTATTACATTTAAGCTCTGCCATCATTTTATTTGAACTTGGGGCATCATCTGACAGTGTCTTGACTACTCCTTGGTTCTTTTCCCTCCATCCTCCCCAGTGGCTGATCCTTCTCTGTTGCTCAGTCCTACTCTGTTTGCTGATCTCTAGATGCCAGGATGCTCAGAGGTTGCTCCTGGACGACTTCTCTAAAATCCACTCCCTTCGCTAATCTTTGTTAACCACGCCTATGACTTTAGACACAATCTACGTGCTTACAACTCCCAAATTCATATCTAGCTCAGTCCTCTTCTCGGAACTCCAGACTTAGCCACTTCCTAGGTCTACTTGGCTCTTTAATTTACATCTCAAATGTAAAAGTCCAAAATCAACTCTCAATTTTGCCTCCCAATCCTGCTCATTCCACTCAAATAAATGGCAGCTCCCTTGTTTTAATTCCTTAGACCAAACCTTTCAGGTCATCTTTGACTGCTTTCTCTCCCCATGCCCTCAGCCTTCATCCAATGCATCAAAATCATTTCAGTTTTACCTTCAAGAATATATTCAGAATTAAACTTTCCGATCACTGCCACCTCTGTCACCTTGGCTCAAGCCACATCTGTCCGTTGAGTAACCGCTACAGCATTCAGACTGTGCTCCTTGATTCCACCCTGGCCTCCTGCTAGTTGTTCTTGACACAGAAACCACAGGGATCACTGTGAAATACAAGTCAGCTCAACTCCCTCCACCACAGTAACATTCTTTCTTGCTCAGGACAGGGTCCAAGTCTTCCCTGAAGCCAACTAGGCCCTGAACACTCTGGCTCCTCTGCCCATCTCTGCCTTTTTTCTCCTTTTCCCATCCATTCTGTGCACATGGCATGCTTGCTCTTCTGCGCTCATGCCGCCCTCCTGCACCAGGGCCTGTGTAGCTGGCTGTTCGTCAGATGTCTACCTGGTTTATTTCCTCATGTCCTTTGGGTGTCAGCTTACATGTTGTCTTCTTGAGACACCCTCTCTGGTCTCACCTAGCTTAGCGCCCCGGCATCCTCACTGCCTCACCTTGCTGCGTTTCTCATCTACCACTTGGCCTTCTGCGTTTGTTTGTCTACCTATGTTTAGTCTTTCTTTTTTCACCAGATAGTAAGCACCTTGAGAGCACACTGTTTGTTGGGCTCACTGCCATACTCTTAGCACCTAGTAAAGCGCCTCACACAGAATTGGTGCCTAAAATATATTTGTTGAATGAATAAATGAGAGAAAGGGGCACCTTCTTTTCCCTTAGTCTTCCATGATACACATTCTCATGTTTCTCCTCATGACTCTTGTCCAACACTGTCTCAACCTTTGTGGTTCCTCTCGGTACATCTGCCCCTTAACTGCTGATGCCTCCCAGGGTTCTGTGCTAGGCGCCCGACTCAAATCACTCACGTGCACCCTTGGCGATCGGGTCTTCCATCCGGGCTTTCGTCAGTACCCTCATGCTGATGGCTCCCAGATCTGTGTCTTTAGCTCAGAACCACCTTCCCCAGTTCCCATGTGGTTCCCCTACAGTCACCTCATACACAACCATCCACATCTGAACCGGTCCTCGCTCCATCCCTGCTCCTCCTCTGGGTCCTCATCACCATCTGGTCAGCCAAGTCCAAAGCAGGAAAACCATCTTTGATTCTTCCTTCTCCCACACAAGTCACTGTGAATTAGTCATCGAGGACTACAGAGATTGCCTCCTAAGTCTCGGAGTTCTTCTACTTTCCATCTCCAGCCCCGTTTCTTTCCTAAATGGCTGCAATAGCTTTGAAACAGGTCTTTCTCCTTTTACACTTGCCACTCTCTGTCATCACACTTAATCCTCACAATAACCCCAATATGCCTGTGAGAAAACGGAGGCTTAGAGGGCTTAAGTCACTTTTCTAAAGCCACTTAGACTGCTGAGTGACAGAGGTGGGACCTGAACCCACCTGTGCAGATCCTGTTCTAAAGCCTGTGCCCTTACCTATTAATCCTGCCACTTCCTGCTGGGCAAAGTGGACATCTCATCCAGCAGAGGGGCCGGAGATGAGATGCCAACCTCCTACTCACTCAGCACTTTAGAAAGAGGGTCAGCTCATTGTAACCCTCCTGTGACATTCTAGACATTTTTTAGATGAGGAAAATGTTATTTGGGACTGTTCCATAGCTCACGGAGGTCTTGTGTTGCCTGAAATGCCTACAAGACCTCTCCTACTGCGTCTTGTACTAGTTTCTTTGGAAAACTGAGCCCTGGTTAGGATTTGAGAGATGTCCCCTACAAGCTACAGGTTAGGTTATCGCAAATATATGAGAAATTAGTGCCGATGTGGTGGGTTACAATTATTCAAACCTAACTGCTGGAAATTAACTAGGACCACTCTTTCTCGATGGTTTTGTGGCTATCACGTGGAGGGAAAACTTATCAGAGGTAATACTTTAAAACATGATTCATTCAAAGGAAATAGCCTGGAAAACAGCTGCTCCCAAGTTGCAAATGTGAGAAATGCGACGCTCTGAGGCGCACCACCGGCCAGGACAGCAAGGCAACACACTCGTTTCAGGAACTTGTCTGGGCCAGGCCCACTTGCTCCATTAGCTCCAAGCCCGTGACTGTGTCCCAGTGTATCCACTGTCTGTCTTCAAGGAGAGGGCACGTGGGGGCTTTTAGATGACTCTTGGATTAATGCCATACTTCTACCTCCAAGTCGCTAGGGATTAGTGGAAGAGGTCGGACCTCGAGCAAGAAACCCCCAACACAACACCATGTGGGATACCAGTGGGAGGGACGGAGCCGTGGGGCGGGGAAGCACAGCTCTGGAGGACGCCTCCTGACAGCTGGGTCTTGAGGGTTGGAAGGGTTTTTCTGGACCTGCTACCCGCAATCATCTCTTTTGCCTCTGCCCACTGCATGTCACGTTGCCACTTTTTACCTGGCCTCTTATTTGTTCACGGCAGCTCTGATGCGTGGGCCATTCACACATTTCAAGCTCTCTCCCCCATTCCCTGGAGGCCACTGAGGGCCTCCAAGCTCTAAAATCTACTCAGTGCTTCCCATTCCCACCACCACTGGCTTAACCCAGGTCACCGCCCTCACCTGGGTGATCACAACAGCCTCTTCACCCCCTTCTGTGTTTCTAGTGCAACCCTTCTGATCATTACCCGCCGTGAGGCCCTGCACAGGTCCCAAAGCACCCTGATCCTGGCCATCCTTCACTTGAAGTTCTTCAGTGCTTCCCATGAGAGCTCCTCAGCTTTGACCCTTACCTACTGTCACCCTAAATCTGAGGCCCTTCCCACATCCATTCGTCCCTCCAGGCATAGAGAATATTTGCGGTTCCCTGAATGTGACCTGATGTTTTATGCCTCTGTGCTCCATATTCATGACATTTCCTCTCGAAACCCATCATCAATTCCCACCTGTTCTTCACAGCTGAGTCCAGGCATCACCTGCCCCAGGAGCCTTCTCTGACTTTGTCCCCCAAGGTCTGGAGAGGCCTCTCTCCTCAATGCTCCAGTGCACCTTACACATCCTTCTAGCAGCACTTGTTTGGCAGCTGTCTGTTCACACTTCTCTTTCCGTCATTTGACTGTGAACTCGCAGAGGCCAGGAACCCATCTGTCCGCCCTGGGCCTCCCCTCAGGCTCAGTGCATGGAAGTGGCCGCTGGAGGAAGGAATGAGAGTTTAAGCCTCATGTGCTCCTTCCTTAGCCTTGAACCACATCTGGAGCCACATCACATGTAGCAAATGGAATTTAAGAAATCAAGTGGCACACATGGTGAAAGGCTGCCTCTCAGGATGCTGTGTGTGAGGTGGATGTGCCCCAGGCACAGACACTTACGTAGCTCATGAAGATCTTCTCTGTGGGTTTGAGGTGCCTCTGGATCTCACAGTCCACTGGGTGCAGGATGATTATGCCATCGTCGGAGAAGATGTAGAACATGTTTCCCACACTGAGGCCTGCGAGGAGCAAGCACAGCCATACTTAGGCCCCTCCTAGCAGTTGGTCCCCAGGCAGGGTCACACATCACATCAGGCACAGATGAAACCTACAGTTTGGCTGCGTCTGATACAGGCACAGAGTGCAAGGCCTGGTCGAGGTGGGGTGAAGAGAGACGAGCAGGCGCCGTGTGGGGAGCGAGTGCCCGAGGGCTGCGAATCAATATGTACACTGAGGGCTCTGCAATCCCCAGGCTGTCCTCCCAGACACGCGTACCTGTGCCAGGTCATCCAGGGCTGGCCACCAACCCAAGTTTTCAAATAAGTGATAGCCTTGGCTTTGACATACATTTGACCTTTTCTGTTCCGAAAGGCAACGTCTCCCGTGGTCCTTGTCAACCAGTCAAATCAGAAAGGATCAGGTGATGCCAAAAAAGCAAAGGCTTTTATTTTTTTTAAACACATTTACGTACAGTGCCGCTACCTGGGATGTGAGGGCCTAAGCAAGCTGTGGCTGGTATTCCTTTGTCCAAACCGGGCCTGTCTGTGCCCGAGGCCCTTCCTTCAAGACAGTTTGCTCCAACATCTGCCCTACCAGTTTCCCTACAGCAGCCCCAGGCCAGGCGACGGAGCCCACAGCCTGGTTCGGCCACCTGCCTGCACCCCCATCCCAGCCCAGGACTGTCTGGGGAGAAATCTCCTTAGACCAGCAGAGAAGGGGCCTTGGGGACAAGTTAGTTCAGCCTCCTTATTTTAAAGACAAAGAACCTGAGGTCCAAGATGGGGAGGGCCTTGGTTGAGACCATGTGCCTTTCTGCCCAAGCGGGGGTTAGACCCCGAGCCCCAGCCCTGGGCTCTGTCCCTTCACCCTGCTCTCCATAAAAGGTCCACATGGCACAAGGGTGGGTAAGGTCTAGAGTTCTCCCTCTTTCTCCCCTCCCCTTCCTCCTTCCCTTCATTTCATCTGAAGGTAAAACATTGAAAAGATTGCTATGAATTCTAAGAGAATTAGCGATGTGGAAAATTCTCTCTTTCCAGTCATGCTGAGAAAACCAGTGTACTGACTTAACTGACTAGCTGGGTAAGTTTTTAGTGAGTTAGAAAACAGTGAAACAGGCAAATAGGAATCACCGTTCCACTTGCTTTCAGGGGCTCTGCAGGTCATTTTCACCAGAGCCTGTGGTTCCCAGTGTGGACAGAGGTACCTGACTGTGTGACACAGCCTCACCTGCCTCTGGTTCTGTGCTGAGAGGGGCTCCGGGCAGGAGGGCTCCTGCCACTAAAGACAGCTAGACACCAGCCTCTCAGAAACTGGGAGCACCTAGGAGCACTGCATAAGTCCCCGTGGGAATCCTGGGGTGCTGGGCAGCCTGTCCTGAGAGCCAGACGAAGCAGGCCAGCGCCTCCTACACGGCCGCCCACTGTTTGGAGTGGGCTAGGTAGCACACATTCGCTCTGACCCCAGTCTATCCTGTCTCCAGGAGGACTTTCTCTTCTGTACACTCTCACCTGGGCACGCTTCTCTCACTCAAACCTGTAGGGGCCAGAGGGGGTCAAAGTCCCTGTAAGACCACAGACCCCGCAATAGCCTCCCAAGGTTTTTGGAAAATCAGTAGCTGGAAGAACCCACATGAGATGGAAAGCTTAGTAGAGCCCACGTGGGCTTTGCAGCTGTGGTTACACTGCAGGCTGAGCACCGGGCCTTGTCACAGTCGACAGTGCAATGTGAGGCTCAACAAGGCCTTGCTCCACAAATAACTGACTTCCAGAGAGCTGGCCTCACGAGCCAGCCCCTGGAAGGTTCTGCTCGTGATTAGCTTGACCAAGGGGGCACACAGGAGCTTTCTCTGCTTCTGCGCACCCATCATTTCACTGTTCCTATTGAGAGCTGACAGCGCCCTGGGGCCCTGCTGGCTTCTTTGCTTTTGCTTCTGTATTTCCCTACCTCCAGGCCTGGAGTTTGAGCAGGGAGGGGTGTGAGCAGCTAGCTGTCCAGGCGTGATGGAGTTTGTTCGCTGCTGGGTTGTCCAATATTAGCGCAGCACCAGCCAGCCTAAAGCCCCGAGGCAGCTGTGGGTCTTAAGTTGGCCTTTGGGCCTCCAGAGCTGCATTTAACACTTTCCAGGGCCTCCTGCATTCTCTGCAGGTCTCCACTTTTGAAATTTGGAAACACCCCTTAGAAAACACGTTTTAAAGACACAGAGTCAAAGCTCTCTGTGTGCACTGTGGCCTAGGGACTAAGTTCAGGCGGCGTCAAGGGACCACTGTCCATGATTAGCAACTGCCGCTCTGACTTTCCTCCTGAGGATTCCTCAAGCCCATTGGCAGCAATCCCTCATTTTCCGGCCTCTGCCTTTGTTTTGCTCCCAGACTTACTGTGTGAGCATTTGTGCCTGACATTCAGGAAATTACTCTGAGTGCGTGTATGCGTGCATATGCTAGACTGCAGGTAACATGGAAGTTCTTAAGGAAAAAATATGAGGAAATATGACGGGTTTTAAAGGAGGAAATTTAGTGCTTAGCCCCGAAATTGCATGGTTCTTTCTGCTGCTTCTCATACCGTCCCTCTGTCCACCTAGCTGGAGAATAAGTTACCTCAGGGGATTTGGACTCTCTGGTGTAGGGGTTCATAGGTAGGGTTGGGGTCCACGAATGCACGTACACCCCACAGAGTGACTCGGGCTCGTTAACCCAGCGCCCACATGTGCCCGCTATTTTTGGAGCCATGTTATCAGACCATTTTTGATATACAAAAATGGCAATTTTGTATGGCCCAACCTAATACCTACAGATTGTTAGATACAAAATTTAAAAACCCATTCATTTAGAAATATACATGTAAACATACATTTACAGAAACCATGGTAGCTTTTTTATTTGGCATTTCCTCAAAGTATACACTAAACCCCAACACCAGTATCAGTTACTGGAAAAAAGTTTAAGGCCCAGCTCTGACCAGGACCCCTGCCAAGAAGCTGGCTTCAGTGGAGGTTTCAAAATTGCTTTAAATGGAAACTTTCGTTTTAAAAATTCTAATCGTCTAATGTCCGTTAAAGACACTAATTAAGTTTAAATCTGCCTCAAGTGGGCCACTTGATTTTGACATGGACTTCCCCGCTCCCATCTGATTTGGCCCGTGGACCCCACCTGTGGGGACTGCTTGATGTCTGGAAAAGCTGTTGGCTTATGGAAAGATGGCCTGTTATGGAACCATGAACACACGTGATCACAGGCACGACACAGAATAAGAAAGCTTGGTACCTTCTTCTCGCCATAGAATGTTTGCAACTGCAGCATCAGAGAGCGGTGAAAGCAGGAATGTGATGGAGGGAAGGAAAAAAAAGAAGAAAGCAACTTCAGAACCTTCCTTGTAGTGATTCAGTTCATAAACATACTGGTATCTAGTCCATCATGTTTAGAACCTGCACCACTCATGGCCCCAGCAATACTGAGGGGGGACGCTGGACGTGGACAAATGCTTCCAGGGCTCAGGACCCTTTTGGTTCCTAATGAATCAGGTTCCAGGATCACAGAAGCTAATGGGACTCTCCTCTTCTGTGGATGATAAAGAGCAAGCAACGTCTCTCCCAGACCTCCTGGACTACTTCCAGGAGCAGGCTGGTTTTCTGCTAGGATCCTCCCTAGGAAGACCATCTGCAATACTTCTGATTTTCTCCCTTGATGATAAAGACTCAGCTTAGAGCCTTTGATCAAGGGAAAGAGACCATGTCCAACACCCATATCCATGAAATCAACCTTGCAGGGTCTCTTGGGGAGCAGTAGCTACGAGGGAGAACCTGCTTAGCGCCCCTGGTGGGCAACAATCCCTGGAGTAAAGACAGGTGTGTGAGTGCACAGGCCAGTTCCTGGGCCGTGGACGGGCAGCAGCAGCTGGTGCGTGGTTAGCATGAACACTTTTGTGGATGACGGACAGAGCAAGTAGGAGGCAGAACTGGGGATATGATATGCGAGCTTCCTTGTGGTCCTGGGTTCTGTCTGCTGTCCAGAGAGTTTCCCTGTCTATGCCTCCAGAGTTGTCTAGGCTTACAGGGAAGGTCTACCCACCTCTGGCCACCCTCTGTCCCCAGCTTTGAGCACAGAAGGATACGAGGTTTACCCCTGTCTCCAGGGGCTCATGATTGGTGGCTGTGGCCCTTGCCACCCAACATCCCCCAACCAGCTCAGTGAGGAGCTCAAAGGCACGCGTGGACTCACGGGTCTTTCTAGCCGAGTCTTCGATGAAGAGGGAGGAAATATCTTCGTCCACGCCCACTTCATTTTTGGCAATGCAGGTATACGCCCCTGTGTCTTCATACCGAACACTGCCGATGTGGAGTTCGCTCCCATTGGCTGTAGGAGGGACAGTGCTCAGGGCGGCCTGTTCAGCTGGGACCTCCATCCTTCCTCCCTTCTCCCTTCTATTGAGAGTGTTGAGGTTAAAAGCACAGCCCCTCAGCAGGGCTGAGGGCAGCCAGTACCCTGATATACGCCCAGGAAGGGCTGGAACAGCAGAAATGAACTGCAGGTGACCTGGGACCTGATTGACAGCGTCTCATCATTGTGCTCACAAAGATCGGTGTGAGTCCAGAGAGCAGGGAAACGTCTGTTTGCTCCCCGAACGTCTGACTTAGAAACAAATCACTCCTCTCATTTCCATTCCTGGGGAGAGCGTCAGCTTGAACTTGATGGGAAAAATGGCACAGAGACACCGAGCGGAGCTCTTACCTAAAAGGGAAAGCTGTTTCGACATCTGGGTTGAGACATCCATGCCATTTTTTAGCCAAGTGATTCTGGGCATAGGAATGCCCTCTGCGTGACATCTCAGGCTAGCTGCCACTCCGGGTTCCTGTGCCTGGGTCTCTGGATGGACACGGATGACGGGTGGCACTGTGGGTGAGAGTTAGTGCCGGTGAGAAAAGGCCTTCCCCTGCCTCAGGCCTGTGGTCCAACTCTGAGACCCTGCCCAGAGGGCTGAACCGAGAGACAACTCCGGAGTTCTCTTTGTAACCAGCTTGCAAGCCCTAAAAGAAAGGGCCATAAAATGGATTGCTGACAATAAACATGTCAGGCTTTGTACGCTGTAATTCATGGCGTTCATCATTATTCTAAATATGATCAGAGAGACAATCCAAATATTTACGGCTGTTCAGCTGCTACACGTAAAGAGCAACAACTGCCAAAACTTACTTCTGAATGAATAAAATTCAGATATATTATTTCTCTTATCGGAAAGCCACTGGACAGGGGCTTAATTTCTTGCAAGGAAGTGCTTCACAAAGTACTTATGGGCACTGACTGGAAGGGCTCCTAATTACTGCTCTAGGGAAGACCATTGGTTTTCCAGTGGTTCATTTTTATTTTTCCACCTCTCATCCCCGGAACAGGCGTGAGAGGCAAGTGTGCCCTCCTTGGCTCCTGACCCACCCATGGGTCCCGGCAGTCAATTTCAGGGCTGGGGATGTGACCAGGCCCACTCATCAGATGAGCATCAGTACCCTCTACCCTCTGGCCTTTCCTACATGGGCTGTCTGTAGGGCAGGAAGGAGTGAGGACTGTCTGGAGGATCTTCCCTCCTACCCCTTGCTCTGGGCCCAGGAAATAAAATAATTATCATTTTCAGTGGAATTGGGGGCTCTTACTTATTCATGCATGTTTCTCTACATACTTCCAAAAAGGATTTATGAGAGCTTCTGTAAAGGCACCTGGATAGTAAACTAAACAACAACAATAACAAAAACCACATCATACACCTTTTGGAAAGTTGGGAGATGCATTCTTTGCCTTGAAGCCAGCAACTACATTTTCCCAGAGTTATCTGGACACTCCTATTGTCCGATAAAAGAAAGTGACCCAGGGCAACTTTCCTGGTGGTCCTGTGGGTAAAACTCTGCGCTCCCAATGCAGGGGGTCTGGGTTCGATCCCTGGTCGGGGAACTAGATCCTGCACGCATGCTGCAACTAAGAGTTTGCATGCTGCAACTAAGAAGTCCACATGCCGCAACTGAGTCCGCATGCTGTAACTGAAAGATCCCGCATGCCACGACGCAAATCCCGCGTGCCGCAATGAAGACCCAGCACAGCCTAAATAAATATTAAAAAAAAAATAACTTAAAAAAAAAAAGAAAAGAAAGTGACCCAGTATGTTACGAGAGAGATTTTTCTTGGGACTAGAGGTGGAACAAATTGACGCATATATAGAAGGAAGTGATAATGTTGATCCTAGAACGTGAAGGTTTCTAGTGATCTGTGCTTGGGTAGGCTGAGGACAAAAGAAAAATTCTATTACCTTATTGTGAGAAACAGATGCTGCAGGTCCTGTCAAAACCCAGGAGGCTGGTAATAATCTGATCAACTTAGCCTGAGTTTCAAGTCTTTCCTCTGGTTGACCTATGGGGCAAAGTACGGGGCCAAGGACAAAGCCAAATGGATAGCTGGCAAAGGGCACAAACCCACCTTCAGAGTGGCCAGAGCTGTTTCCATAACATGAGCTCAGAGGCACCCATGACTAACCACACACAGACCAAACAATAATAAAATCTGAGTCATTTCCTTGGTTTCTCTTTGTTTGCAGTTCTGGGGGAGAGTCCCAGGGTGTGGGAGAAGGTCCCCGTCACAGGTCAGGCCACTTGGGATCGATGAAGTAAAAGGGGCTCTAGCTAAGGCGTATCTGGAGGACTGCTTAGAACACAGACGTGGATCTCTCTTCTCTGATTCCCCTTGGTTCAAAGAAGGAAGAAATAGTAATTTATCTAGGAAACCTTCCTATACCCTGAATTTGGTAAAGAGAGGAATGGGGTTCAAGTTGAAGAGACAGTAGAGTTTTTTTTCAAGAGGCTATGATTCAAAAGTACAGAGATAGAGACGGGGGACCTAGGAACACTGGACTGGTGGGGAGTTGGAGAAGGAGGTAGAGCAGCCTGGGTTCTAGAATGTGGGAGGCCAGGACCTGGGAGTGAATAACCTTGGGCTCCTGCTAGATCCCCATTTATTTATATAGGCCTGCCAAGCAACCACATAGTAAACTTAAAGAAGGTGAGGGAAGAATCAATAGAGATAGAAGCAGAAAGGAATGAATCAATTTGCCAAAAAAGAGTGGAACTGATAAATCTGAGACCTGGATGTTCGTGAAAATGAATAAAGTAGCCAAATTTCTGGCAAGTTTGTTTAATGAAAAATATAAAGAACACAGAGGAGATTAAAAAATATGGAAGTACTTTGGTCAATTATAGGTAATAAACATGAAGCGCTCAATGAAATGAATCACTTAAAAGGAAACTTTAAAGTATTGACATGGAATCAAGAAGAGAGCATTTAAAACATTTTGAAGTACTACTTTTCAGTTATGCAGTGAATAAGTTCTAGAGATCTGTTATACAATATAGGGCCTATAATCAGCAATATTATGTTGTGCACGTAAATATCTATTAAGAGAGTAGATCTCATGTTAAGTGTTCTCACCGCAAAAACGAACAAAAAAGAAAAACAAAGTGGAGGTGATGGGTATGTCTGTTACCTTGACTGTGGTGGTGGTATCCTAGGCGTATACGTGTACAAATTCATCAAATTGTATAGATTAAATATGTGCAGTTTTTTTGTATATAAATTATACCCCTGTAAAGCTGTTTTGTTTTCTTTTTCTCTGCTGTCTCAATTATCCTTTATTTGTAGTTTACCTTGAATTACTCTGGTAACCTATTCAGGTTTTTTTTTTTTTTTCTTCAATTCATGGTGTCTCGGCACACCTATGTCACCCACCGGTTCCTTTACAAAGAAAGTTCATAACGCTGTTTTTAAAAAGGCGCTACTAACCCCCAAAGAACCCTGATTAGTTTCATAGGGAAGTTCTTTTGTACATTTCAGGAACAGATAATTCCTACAGCATACAGCAGAGAAGATGTCCCAAATTTTATAATGGAGCTGTATAACCTGGACACGGAAACCTGCCAAAGAGAGCACAAAATAGATGATTACAGACCTAACTCACTCAGTACTAGATATACCAAAATCCCAAGTAAAATATTAGCAAATCAGGATTCTGGACAAGATGGTAGAGTAGAAGGACTTGTGCTCACCTCCTCTCACAAAAACACCAAAATCACAACTAACTGTTGAACATCCATCGACAAAAAAGACTGGAACCTACCAAAAAAAGATATTTTACATCCAAAGACAAAGAAGAAGCCACAAAGAGACAGTAGGAGGGGAGCTTTTGCGATATAATCAAATTCCATACCTGCCGGTGGGTGACACACAAACTGGAAAATAATTATATCACAGAGGTTCCCCCACAGGAGTGAGAGTTCTGAGCCCCATGTTAGGCTCCCCATCCTGAGGGTCTGGCATCAGGAGGAGGAACCCCCAGAGCATTTGACTTTGAAGGCCAGTAGGGCTTGAGTGCAGGAGCTCCACAGGACTGGGGGAAACAAAGACTCCACTATTGGAGGATGCACACAAGACTTCACATGCACTGGGACCCAGCACAAAGCAGTGACTCCATAGAAGCCTGGGCTAGACCTACCTGAGGGTTTTGGAGGGTCTCATGGGGAGGCAGGAGTTGGCTATGGCTCACTGTGGGGGCAAGGACACTGGCAGTGGAGGGCTCAGAATACTGATCAGTGTGAGCTCTCCATTTTGGCAATGAGACCTGGGGCCACCCCGCAGCCTGCAGACTCCACTGTGGGATGCTTCTGGCCAAACAACCGGCAGGGTGGGAATCCAGCCCCACCCATCAGCAGACAGGCTTCCTAAAGTTGTACTGAGCTTACAGCTGCCTCTAAATACAACACTTGACACTGCCCTGCCCAAGAGAGGGACAAAACCCAGCTCCACCCACCAGAGGGCAGGCAACAGTCCTTCCCACCAGGAAGCCTGCACAAGCAGCAGGACCAACCTCACCTACTGGGGGGCAGACATCAGAAGCAAGAAGAACTATGATCCTGCAGCCTGTGGAAAGGAGACCACAAACATAGAAATTTAGACAAAATGAGATGGCAGAGGAATATATCCCAGACGAAGGAACAAGATAAAAACCCAGAAGAACAACTAAGTGAAGTGGAGATACACAATCTACATGAAAAAAAGAATTCACAGTAATAATAGTAAAGATGACCCAAGATCTCAGAAAAAGAATGGAGGCACAGACTGAGAAGATACAGGAAATGTTTAACAAAGAGCTAGAAGATCTAAAGAACAAACAAACAGAGATGAACAACACAATAACTGAAATGAAAAATACACTAGAAGGAATCAATAGCAGAGTAAATGAGGCAGAAGAATGGTAAGTGAGCTGGAAGACAGAATGGTGGAAATCATTACTGTGGGACAGAATAAAGAAAAAAGAATGAAAAGAAATGAGGACAATCTAAGAGACCTCTGGGACAACATTAAATGCACCAACATTCACCTTATAGAGGTCCCAGAAGGAGAAGAGAGAGAAAGGACCTGAGAAAATATTCGAAGAGATAACAGCTGAAAATATCCCTAACATGGGAAAGGAAACAGTCATCCAAGTCCAGGAAGTGCAGAGAGTCCCAGGCAGGATAAAACCAAGGAGTAACACACCAAGACACATAGTAATTGACAAAAATTAAAGACAAAGAAAAAATATTAAAATCAACAAGGAAGGGCTTCCCTGGTGGCGCAGTGGTTGAGAGTCCGCCTGCCGATGCAGGGGACACGGGTTCGTGCCCCGGTCCGGGAAGATCCCACATGCTGTGGAGTGGCTGGGCCCATAAGCCATGGCCGCTGAGCCTGTGCGTCCGGAGCCTGTGCTCCACAACGGGAGAGGCCACAACAGTGAGAGGCCCGTGTACCGCAAAAAAAAAAAAAAAAAAAAAAAAAATCAACAAGGAAAAAGCAACAAATAACATACAAGGGAATTCCCACAA